ATGTTGATAAAAATGTATTTGCTTGATCAAAAAGTTTGAAAATGAAATAAAATATCCCACATAACTTGATCTTATATCTGAAAAAAATATTAAAAAAACAATTTTGTCAAATTTTTTTTATATGTATTTGGAATTTAATGTTTTACAAAATTCGTTAAAACCGTGAAAATTCTCACAAATACTTGTAGTGTTTTGTAGTATAACGTTAATAAATTTTTAAATTTTTATAGCTAAAATTTAAAATTGTTTACATAGTTCTTTATACGCGGTTGATACTGTAACTACAAAATTCTAAGTAATGTATAAAAATAAATATTTTTGGTCAAAATTGCAAATTTTATAGTTGTATGATGGTATTAATTATTTAGTCATAATCCAAAAACACTTATTCGTGGAACTTAAGACTTTTACGTATACTATGAATATTATTATAATACTTTATGACATTTTTAAATATTTATATTGACTTTAAGATATTTATGAATCCATTCACAGTTTTGTACAACAAAGCTAAATCAACATAAAATTTAATAACAATATCATAATATATAAAACATTTTTATTATTATGCTAATTAAGTATTAATAATACAACAAATACTATAATTTCAGGAAATATTAAATCTACCTTCCTAGTAATAGTAAAATAAATCATTTTAAAAGTTATATAAAAAAACATATTATGAAATAGACTAACAGACCGTCTACACTCAGAATTGTGTTTGTATATAATTTATAGTTATATATCATTGAATTAAAATTAATTACATATAGAACATACATTACAGTAACCTACTTGACACCTAACAATTATGTGCCTAATAGAGGGATACCTACTTTTTATAACCAAACTTGAACACATTAGTACATAATATGTTTTAATGTTTTTATAATTCATTTTACTTTATTCGTAAAATTAGTTCAAGAAATACATCTTAAATCATAACAGCTTTATAATTCTACAGTACAGTTCATATGTTTATACAAAATATCTGTACCCTTTGTAGTCAAGTCTATTATTATCTTAATGTTTACTATTAGACCTCGAACTAAAATTTTAATTAAATATAATTTGTTGTATGCTTCCTTTTGTTTAAACATTTATTTATACAACAATGCCGAAATAACTTGAGCAAGCCGATAAAACTATGTAATTAATTTAAACTATCAAAACATAATTCATCACAAATATTAACATTTCTAATAAATCTGGAATATGGACATAAGTCAAATTTAAGACTACAGTTATCGTTTAAGCTCATTTTTGTTTTTTAGATTTATTTTACCTTATTAATAATAAGTTATTATATTATTAGGTATTGTTTATTTTATAACCGGAAAATATAATCGTTGTATATTATGTGTGTATATATATATTATAAACGTTATTTCTAATTTAAAATGTAATTTTAATTAGTGAAAAATTCTAATTCAGTTTTAAAATAATAATATTTGAATATGGTCTTTTTTTGATAATTTAACAATATATATAATTCATAAATCATAATTTTTCATAAAATCATATAATTATAATTATATAAATAAATAATATTTATAAATTAAACTTAAGTAATTTACCTAACCTAACCTCAATTTTGAGAAATACTTAGATACTTTTTTAAATATTATATTTTTACTTGAATCTTATATTTGAAAAGCTTCCTACTTTTTGTGAATAATTTTAAATATATCTAAACAACCAAACAACCTATACTCACTTTTAACAAACTTTAATAATAAATATAATATAATTTATTTTGTTTACTTTTAATTAATGGTGGTATAAAACCTATACTATTCTCACGTGTTTAACACTATAAAGTTAAATTTTAAATCATAAAATGTCCAAAACATATTTATTTACTCAACAAGGAATTTGAACAGTAAAATAATATTATTTCGTGTATTATTGACATAGAAATATTAAAATATTATAAAGAGTTGTACAAATTGTATTTTTTTACTAACTATGGAGGTCAATACAATAATTTATGATATAATAATACATTAAAAAACCGTTAATGATTTTAAATACTACTTTATTTTTAAATAAAATTAAAACCATATTTAAAATTAATCAACATTAAAAATATTGGATGAAGACTTTACTAAAATTAAAAATCTATTAAATATCTATTGAGTGTATTATTTTATTATTAAAATTAATTTTACATTTAAAAATAATTCAATTATAATAATTTATACGACTTGAAGAACGAGTTTAATTGCTATGATTTCAAAAGTATGATACTGTTCAATGAATATTAATAACAATTATTGTGGCACAGTTTCTTTTTTACTGACACTTTACTAACCCAAGGGAATAAGACGAACTTAATAACGAACTTAATCCAATGGTGAAATAATTAATTACATTTTACGATGTAGACAAATTGTAATAATTAGGTAATGAATCTTTTACCGTTTATGAATGTGTAACCATATATATTATAATTTATTGTGTGCTATTTTATTAAAATTGAATTGAATTTAAGGTAATAATAAATATGGTACGTAATCCAACATTGATATTAATATGCTGATTTCTGACATGTAATTTATACTAACTGCATTATAAGATTATTGACTGCTCTTCTATGTTAATAATTCTATTATTATATAAAATAGTTCTTAATATATGTAATAAATACATGAATAAGCTGTAAAAATACTTATTTCATATATGTTTCTTATACATCAATAACAAACTTACAGCTATTTAATATAAAACATGTAGATATTGCATTCGTTTATTTATGTTTAGAGTTTTTAATTCAATAAAAATTAATATTTATAAGGTACTTAAATTGTGTATCATTTTACAAAGTTTCATTTTTATTTTTTAAGGAAATCTTTTTTCAATTTCAATTTTGAAACACTTGAAAAATTACAAAATGATTTATTAAATGTTCTTATTTATAAATATTCATAATTTAAATAGTTCTGAACTACTTTAAAATAAAATATAATTATATAAAATAATATGATATTGGATAATATTTATCTAAAAAATAACTATAATTTTAATAATGTTAAAAATTTTAACTAGTTTAACTAGGTATCACAAAACATGTTTTAATATTTATGATTTTCTTTGACTTGAAACTTGTATTTTAAGTGTATTTAATATTTAACTAACTATGATATTTAAGAAATAATCATGATTTGTATTTAATACATTAAGTAAAATAATCGACTCTTTCTCTACATTATTACATAAATACAATTTATATTATAGGTACTTGTATAGTTAATCAAAAACGTCATAATTATTAAATAAACTTGTGATATATTGAGATACTAAATTTTATATGTACCTATATTAGATATCAAATTTTTATCTTAATACTAAATGTTATATATCTTTTTTATTATATCATCTTTCTTTCGACCAAATAATGTCTTTTCCCATTTATTCTTTAGTTTACGTGTTCAATACAATAATAAACTATTAATACGTTAGATGTTAGTTCGTTGTTAGATTATAATTTATAATACTGTTAACATAAATGTTTATATTTTTTTTAATATTATTATTGGATGTCAAATGAAGATTATATTATAACTTATGCAACAAAGCTTTAAGTAGTGTCGATGGACACCCTTTCCAAACCTTGTACAAAAAAAAAATTATCAAATTAACTTATTGTTTTACACAGATTTTAAATATATCTTTATTTGATAAAAAAAAAAAAAAAAAACTTATGCGACTATATCAAATTTTGATTTAAACGTTAAATATGAATGCGTAATGGAATACTATTCTAGTATTGTGATTTTACGTTTAAGCAAATATTCTTAAATGATTAAGATTGTGTAAATCAAAATTTCACAAATCATTTAAAAGGTAGCAAAACATATACAACAAAAAAATAGTTGGTATCAGAGAAATATGTCTATTTGTATTTCAAGTTATACTATACTATACTATTATAGTACTTATTACTATTATAGTTATACTAGAATACTATACTTGAATGACTATTAATATCTAAACAGCTAACATATTATATTTGATTAATTGTTAAAAAATCAATTTATCTTTTCACTCAAAATTTAATAAATATATGTATTTATTTAATTCTGAACTTTAAAGTAAGGTACTGAGAATTAAAATTATCCTAATATTATAACTTTGATAGTTTTATAAATGTTGGGTACATTTTAAGTTCAACATCAAAGAAAAGTATAAATAATAAAAAACGTTTTGAATAATATATTGTAATTATCTTATAACCAATTTGTATTGAAATAATCAAATATACAATTTTAAATTATTTTTATTTACAAAACTTCGTTGTATATATACATATTCAGTAGGACCCATTATCTTATTGACGATTAAATAAAAATAAAATAAAATAATATATACCCATAGATAAAAACTAAATAAACATAATCAGCAGATTACTTTTTATTATTATAGTTAAAGCTGATTGTGAAGTTCGTACAATATATATCAAAAGTTTTATGGCCGCCACAACTACGTATAATACCACACCACTGTTAAATATATACACATATATATATTATTTTTTTTTATAAGAATTCGTAAAATTCCTTTACTTTGAAGAGAGAAAACAACAATTTTGGTATTATTGACCAGTTATAATTATTAACTGAATATTCATCTAAAATGTATTAGGTACACTTCTTTTTTAATAAATAAAAAAGATTTAAAAACTAGTTTATACGTAAATTATTTATAGTGTGTTGTAGGTACACAGTCTTGTAGCTTCGCCGTCTTTGTGCTGAAAGGCTAAATTCTGTAATGTAAATATATATACACATCGTCGTGTTTATAAATTCATAGCGTGAACTGTAGGATAAGTTAAAATTCACAACTTCCGTCAAAGAAGCACTGTGAGCAGAAATGGAGTGCCTAGCGCAAGTTCACACATGCACACAACTTATGTACCTACATATAAATATGTACCATAATAATAATATATGCTTAAATGTGGTCACTGACACAAAATATTTTTGACATTTTATCTTCAGATTGTAATGACCTGTTCGAACTATCAGCCATCGTACCAAGGTACGCCAAACTGGGTGAGACAGTGGTGCTCAGATGTAACCACACGGTGGTCGAAAATCAACTTTATAAGGTCCAGTGGACCAAAAGCGGTGACAAATTGTTCCAGTATATCAGAGGACGTGTACCACCATATATCAATCACACAATACCCGGAGCAAAACTTGATGTAAGTTATTCGTATATCTATTTTAGTTTATTAGTATTACTATTTTATACATTCATTTTTCTTTGTGTTATCGTAACTGTGATGAGAACAGTATGAGTATTACCCTTAGTCATGAGATATTTTCGTACTAAAAATCATACATATAGCATCAATTATTGTCAGTAAATTTTAAAAGGTTAGATATTTAACAGGACAATCCCATTCTTATCTGCGAGAGTTGATTTACGTAACTAGATATTTTGCTGGCTGGCCAGAGTTTGCTGTCTCTGAAGCCTCGTACTAACATCTAATTTTCTCAAGATGACCAAAGCCCACTACGAGTAGATCTCGTGTAGAATATGCTATAATTTTAGTAATTTCGATATTTTATAGGTGAAAGAATGAAGAGACTTGGTTGGGGAACTTCTTAGTAATAGAATAGCTTATAAGTAGTAAATTATTATTATGCTGAAACTAATCGAAAATAATCTAGTATTTAAGACGAGATGTAACTATATTGTTTCAGTACTTTTTGAATTCATGTGATATGTAAGGATATCTAGAGGAAAAAAACTGGTGTAAATTATGCTAGGAGTAGATATTATTTGAAAGATAAGTACCTCTAAAAATGGAGAATAAAACGTTATTAGATCTTTCTACAAATTTAATTAAAATTAAGATAAATTTAATTGTATTAATTTTTTCCTTCTTTACATAATAATAGTGGTATATAATTCTCAATTTTTTTTCTTACAGTGAATTGTACATTTTTAAATAGTTTATTTTTGATATGTTTACGCCACCCACGCACACATATTATACTTAAAATTTATAATAATCTAGATTCTCCAAAACTGATGTAAAATTCATATGGTCTATAGTTGAAGTACTTCATATCAATATAACCATGTATTTTCCCTTCCGATTCACGCTCCTCTTCCCTATCACACCTACATTCTACTATAAGTGGAGGAGAATAATAATAATAACACTAGAACGGGATTAATATACGACATCGTACATCAGCATGCGTGTTGTCGTTTCGCTTTGGTTTAGTTTCACCATCATTGTTTGTGAACGATCGCTGGTGTATTTAACCATCTGTATTTTCTATTGTTATCAACACCACCTCTTCTCCCTCAGAAAACACATTGGAATCAATCGACATCAGAATATGGTATGTTTGGGTCCAAAAAGGCTATAGATTTGCCTCAAATAATTGCGAAGGATATCGTGGTCTCTATATATATATACATATGTGTGTGTGTGTGTGTTTAATACCTTGCCATATACTGTACAATATAAATATATTTTATATTATATATATTAGGATTATACTTAAATAGTGACGCGTATGGTGTATTGTTTACTATATCAGAAATATATGACTGATGGTTCTAACCGTGTCCATTCACGTATTTATTTATGAATGTATTTACAAGAGCTTAGAATAAATATCATCAGACCAAGTATCTTATTTCACTCGTATCAACGATAAATAATAGTGCATTATCTAAGGTAATAGTGATTTAATTTATCAAATTCGATACTATTTTGGAATGGTACTTTATTTAATATTACGTATTTTTAGGAATTAAGCCACACTGGTATTATACGAATCACAGTGCTATATATTTATATAAATAAATTCACTTTTGGCTAATCAAATGGCAATTAGACTTGGTAATAAACGATTATAAAAAGTTTTTATTTTTCAATTTAATTATATGGTTTATTTTCTATTTTTTCTATTGAAAAACTCTTTATCCATTATTATTTGATTACATATGAAATCGTAAGGAATTCATTATTTGGTTGATTATCTTAAAAGTATGCTACAATTTTTTACTCTGCGTAAATGCTGTAACAAATAATTACACTCTATGATTTTAAAATAAATACCCTCCCTTTAGTGTAATTATAAACGATAATACGAGACTTAATCTGACAAATGTATTTTATAATTACTGAAGAACTCAATATATACGTTTTGTATATATATGTATATAATTAAACGACGTAACTATGGCAGTAAAATTACTATTTACATAATAATACTGTTAAATATCTATAAAACTTAAGTCGAGTTATATTGTACAAGAAATTATTAAATTTTAACTTTGACTATTAAACCATACAGTAATTACAGGGAAACAAAAAAAAATATTCATAGATAACCATGAACAACACACCTAGCACCCAAGGCGTACCGTCAATCAAACGTCAACTCCGTTTTATTTCCGTGTGTAAATCCACTTTACTATAATATAATTTTATTATTAAATTCCAGCGTGTCAAAACAACGCGCATATGTGTAACTATCGATAAATGTATTTGCAATATCTATAAAAAAAAAAAAAAACAGTTTGAAAGGATATCATTTTTAGTTTACATCGATAATCAGAGGCTTATGATGAGTTTCGAATATCATAAATCTTTCTGTTGTATTTCACTATGAAAAACTTCTTTTTTTTTAAAGTATTTTCAAGGATGAGAATTCATCATTATAATAATTTGAAATTAAAGTGTTAAATAACAATAAAATATATGTTACCACAATATTACTAGTATTAAAAGCAGGTATAAACTATAATATTAAATTTGGAAAAGGAAAAAATATGAAGAACACATACTATACACAAGAGAATCAATTAATGTAGTGAAATTAAAAATACACGTTTTCATTCAGAAATATATTATATAAAAATAAAAAATAGTATTATTAAAAATTATAAGAGATGCAATTATTTTCGCAAAAATGTAGTTTTTCAATAACTTAAAATGATGTAAAAAGTAAAATAAAAAATAATTTCAAAAAAATAAAAACTTTTTGAAATAATTAGTTCAAAAATTGAAATTAATTACCTTGTATACTGAAATATTCATTGATCATTTTTATTACTTATTTTATACTTTATATTATACATTTATACAAATTTATAAAAAATTATCAGCTTTTAATTATAGTTATAGCCAAAAGTGATGGATCTCATTAAATAAGTTTGTATCAATACATAATATTATAAAATAAATATGGGCATTAAGCTTTAGTTAACTTCAAATTAAAAAAAAAAAAAAAAACTATAAATTGAATAATTGAATTATATTTTACTCAGTATTACTATACTCTAGTAATTGATAAAACAACTAAAATGCAATTTCTGATTACTTTTATGTATACATTTTTGTGACATCGATTTGGTTTTTATGATTGGTAATTGCCTGTAAGTCGGTTTGAAATCATTTTGTGAAATGAAAAATAGAAATTTAAATGAGCAAATTATTGCTGTAATATGAATAAAATCATAAATCAATTCAGTAGGTTTAAATTATGTAATATAAGCTATAATCAAATAATATAAGGGTTCGTAGTTATATAATTACTTCAGGTTACTCTAGTAAATATAGTAATTAGTGATAATTTGACTGTGAAATACAATATGATATTGCTCTAAGTATCGGCAAACCTTATGTATGTGATCAACGATGTCATTACAATTTAAGATGAACATGATCATGATATTTATTTTAAACAACTGCTAACTAAATTAATTGTAAACATAAATAAAATCTAAAATAACAATTTGTTTTGAGAATGTGATGGTAAATTCTACGTAATTAAAATAGATGAAAGTTAAAAAAAGTTAATAAAAAGTTAATAAAAGTTAATATAGATAATATACTTAACGGTGAAATTTAATTCTTATATAGGATATAACTTTTTTCACTCAAAAATTATCTTCCTCTTTTTTTCCCATGTTCTCTTTTAGACCAAATAAGATAAAGTAATTTTGTTTTTTCATCGAAACATATTTGAAAATGTTTCGCCTACGATTTCACGTTTTAAGAAGTAGTATCTCAAAAATAGTTAAATAAAGCCATTTAGGTATTTGTTATAACTCAGGAACACAATAAGAAGGTAAATTCCAATTACCATTAAAAATGTATCGTATTTATGTAAATTAATGTAACTATTATGTATAATAAAAGTAACTGTTTGTAATTATTTATTATAACGTTTAAAAAAAATGTATTAATGTTATATTTTATAAGCGATTATTAATTGGTAACTAATCAAATGATTGTGTAGACTGTAGTTGAATGCAAATATGTTATAAATTTATATCGACTTGACTCTTCTTTATTGGACTTTATCTTCATTTTTTAACTAAAGTTTTTTTTTTTTTTCCAATCTTTAGGAAAGTGTTATAATGGTTACTATTTAATTTAATATATACAAAAAATTAAACTTATATTATTATACAATAATTATTTTAATGTATACAAACACAAAACATTGTTTTAAATGAATGTATTTAATTAATTTTGAGACAGAGCTTTTAAAAATTTTGCTCATGATACCACGGAAAAAAATAATGATATAATCTACGTGAAAAGAAGAAAATACATTTTTGGAAAAAATAGTAACACACTTTTGGAAACCGAAATATTTATTTTTATAAAACTATGGTGTTAATAGCTTATATAAAAGTAAGAAATAATATGATGGTAGACTGTTTTATTGAATATATAAAAAATCAGATAATTATCAATGATCAACTTAAAACAATACAATTATTTGTTAGTACTGACGTTGAAAATGTCGCAAATGTATGATAACACAAAGGCACGTCCGTGCCGGTTAGTTATTGTAGAGTAATAGTACTGTGAGTTAACAAATGTCGGTATTGATAATTTGACCAACATAAAATCTGACTCGTCGAATTGTAAACATTTTCAGGTTCAAAAATAAATAACAAGTCGGCGTTTTATAATGATACGTAATATCGTGTAATAATTACGAAAAATACAAATTATTCGTACATAGAAAAAGTATTAAAATATATTAAAAGAGTCGTGGGGTCAATAAACGCGCGTGGTCGGGCGCGTAACAATAATGTACACCGCGGACGTGCGTATGGAAGTCGGTTTGAGAGTCGAATAGGAACGGTGCGCAAACGTTTGCGTGTTAAGGAGGTCGATGTTGCGAGACGGATGCATAAAACTCGAGAAACAGACTAAGACGTCGCGCGAGGCGTCATTGATGCCACGGTGAGTTAAGCGTGTGAGGAGAGGCGCGATGTATATAAAATGATTCACAGTCAGATACATGACGTGGTACGAGTATTAATTACAACAAAAATAGTAAAATTTACAATAAATACAATTAAAAAATATGGTTGTAATAATCCCGTATCGCCATATTACTTTATGCTAATGATACGGATCAACATTTTGATAGATGATTAGGCGTTATCGTTGTCTAAATAACGCGATTGACTAGAACATTGACTGATCCAGTGATACTCTCAATCAAGAAGCATCATTATGGACATCAGCATCAAACAATATTATAAGATACGCTCGAATAATAATAGGACATTAAATACTATATGATTAGATTTAATTGGTTTTAATAATTAAAAATAAATACTTAATTGTATAGTTTTATACCTACAGACACTTTTCGACTTATTTTAACATATATGTATAACTAAAAGTAAAATACATTAGTTGGTATGTAGGTGTACTTATATGGTATTATACAATATAAATCGAAAATATCAGGAATAATACGACATATTTACATTTTTTATAAAAGCAATACGAAATAGTATTATATCACATATACCTTATTAAAATATTTTAATAACAAATTAAAAAACAAACAATGAAACTTAATCATCCAATAAAGACTTAAGAATTTCAATCTTCACGCATACTACTAAATCTTTTGTAACCTTTTGTGTAAGTTAGTGATAAATTAATTTTATAGTAATAATTTCAAACGATATAGATACTAAAGAAATTACATTTACTAATTTAAATTAATCGAATTCAGACAATACAAAATAAAAACGTACTTATATAATTATAGGTCTCGATTTTTGATTGATAATTTTCATTATATAAAATACAATTACAAGTACAGTACAATACTAATACAAGTACAATACTCCAATATTAATTAATACAAACCGAAAGTATTGTTTTATTAAAATGTATAAAAGACTATAAATCATTTATTAATTTTAATATAGCATCAAAATATTTTTCTGGTTTTTAATATTGAAATACACGTTCAGCTGAAGTTAAGAGATATATTTAAGTATCTCTAATTTTTAATAAATCATTTCAAATTTAATAACATAGATTAAATAGAATTAATTTGTTATTCAGTTAAGTAAATATTATGAATAATAACTAACACAACATGTATTATAAAAGTATACGAATTAAATCATTTTAGATTCTGAACGAAACGATGAATGTATTAACTCTATAATAATGTTCTTAAAACGATAATTTATGTATAAAATGCTCGAGTTTTAAAAATGAGAGTAGTTTTGGATATAAAATTGAATCTTTTTGTACTTCAGAGAGATAAAACTTATACATTTCTGGTACTTATTTTTAAAGACAACGTACAATTATTTCTCATATTACTTTGTTAATTTCTCAATATATGAAAATAAATATCAAAAATCTATAATCAAAATGTTTTTTAATAACTGTTTTAAGTTAGAAATTTGAGGAAATTTGTAAAAATTGCAATTTATTTTCTAGTTAAAAATTTACAAGTCTATTATTTTCCTATCTAGTATCATAAAATTCTTCATAAATATTTTATATTCAAGCCTCAGAATTTAAAAATATACAAAGACAATTATGTTTAAAGACATTTTAAGTTCAAATTTAGATGAAAATTTGTATTTAAACGATAAATAATAGTGTAAATTGTTTTATTATAATTTAGAAACATCCGTGGATATTTAAAACTATTAGGTGTATTATATTATGAAATTGAATGCATTGAAATGTTTGTATATTTTGAGATATTATTATCTTTATCATACTATGAATCTATTTTTACTATTTTAAGGTATTAACAAAAAGATTTTATTTATTCCTGCGCTATATAAGTTTTTATAATATGGTAAAGATTTTTATTATGAAAATTAAATACTAATAATATAATAAATGCAATATTTTTAAAAAAAAATATATTTATCTACTGTAATGTAAAAACTAAATGATTTTAATAGCTACGTTGGTGTACAAAAAATATCTATATCGCGAAATATGATTTGTGATATAGGTTTACAGACCGTCCCCACTCAGAATTTTTTTTTGTTTCGATGATATTCATTGAATTCAAATTTATCCCATCCATAAAAGTGCACACTTGACACCTAATTTACAATAGAACCGTTTCCACTTTCCTATTTTTTTTATTTTTATTACCGTCTTTGTAAAAAAAAATCTTGCTAACTTGCATTTTTATAAATAATATTATAATATTGTGTTTGATACTTATATTATAATTTATATACGTATGTATAATTTTTAAGTAAAAATGTAATAACTTCAATTTATTGGAAAAATCATAAAAAAAAAAAAATGATATTCAATACTTTTAAATTTTAATATAATATTTATTAAGTTAAAATATGAAGATACTTTAAATAATAATTAGTTTATATCAGTATTATAAAATTGTTCATATAAAATTTTAAATTTTATCTCCGATTAACGTAAAAAAAAAACAAAAAAACATTTTAAACATTAATACTATGGATTTTGAATTTTATTTAACAGATATTGGTATATTTTAATATTATAATATGTTACTAAATGGGTATAGAAGAGCGATGGAACACTTTTGAGATCTATTGAAAAAAGCACGTGTATTAAATCCACCACACCTACACGTAATAATTAGCTATTATATGATGTCAATCTCTAGTGGAACGATATTTATAATAATAAAAAGATAAGATAATGTAATTTACACGCATCGCTCTTTACGTGTCGTTAGTAATTTTATTCATGTACCAGCTATATAGAATCTATTGTGAACAACGATTTATGCTGCTGTAGTTTACAGCATGCAATTGTGTTTTGTGGAGTCTTATACATGTTATATTATTTAAATAAATGGATCACATCCTTGTGCAAAAGTTTCCGAAGCTGAACATTTCGACCGTTTATAATTTTGTACAGCAAAACGATTTACTTTGTTGAAATAAGAGAAAAAAACTTTTAAGTACAGACAAAGAATCAAATAATAATACGTAACAAACGAATTACTCTAACGTATTATTGAATTGTATATATTTTAACATGAATATTGAATATATTATAATTAGTCTAACCAATCATAGAAATATTTTTTTTTTATTTTACATCAAACGGGTCTTACGATAAACTATGCACAATGTAATAAAAATAATTCTATTTAACCTATCGTCGAAGTATTGGTACACGCTTATGTGTTTAAGTACAGCATACAGCAGCAACGCTGTTCATGTGTAACCTAACCTAACCTAACCTAATCTAATTGTGTGAATATTCATAAAATATGATTTATGATAATAATTTATACAACGAAATCTATAAGTATTTTATTTATGACAACAAAAAATTTGACTTAGTATCACTGAGTATATTTTAAATTGTTTAATTATCTTTAGAATTTCACTAAAACCAAGTTTTGTTTTTTTTTCACTCATCTTATGAAAATTTCAAAAGGTTGATCATATCTCAACTTTCTTTAAAAATATATTTAAATAAGTCTATAAATAAAAGAGTTGAAATATAAGAAGTATTAAATCTTGAAAAAAACTGTAACTCATAAACAATAATATTCTCATAAAATGTATGTTCATTAATTTAAAAATATTCTAGAAATATATATATATATATTTTAATGTATGATAATTAATAAACAAAACATAATAAAATAAATTGATTTACATAATAATATAAAACGGCACATTTTTTTTTTTTAATATTCTGAGAAAAAAAATATTAGTTCTTACGTACAAATAAAAGAGAAGTTCAAAAAATGTATTTTATAACTATTAATAAGATATGATTTAAAATCTGAATTACGATAAAAGTCACACTTAATAGTTTATTTTTATACTCTAAAGTTAATGAAACATGGTACAAAATTAATATCATAGTATTTATTTGTAAATGAATCATAATTTAATTTAAAATATTTCAATTTCTACAATTATTCATAAACACATTTACTGCCTATTTGTAAAGTTACAAATATTAAATTAATAACTTTTATTTTATGTAAAAATTATCCAATATTATATTGTTATTTGTTATTATAAAAACTAAATATTATTATTTAAATATGGTCAACTATAAAAACATATTTAACGATTATTATTATTCCATTAATAACATAATATATTCACTAACTTATAATATACAATAAAATGCAACTTGTACATGTTTATTTTATACAAGTTTTTTAATGACTTACATAAAACATATGATAAATACCAAAGTTTTATTTAAATTTGATGCACTGTTATTTATGTATATGTTTTTAGTGGGGCCAAACTAAACCTTCAGAGTTAGCCCTCATGGACGTACAACATGATGCGTCTGGCCAATATGCTTGCACAGTAACTACAGAATCTCCGATATATAGTAAAACATCAGAATCTCACGACCTTACAGTCATAAGTAAGCAAACTTTTTGTAAAATAAATTAATGAATTACTAAGTTTTAAAAAAAACACATTATTTTTATTTTCAGAAATTCAAAACACTGATCCAACTATTGAAATTTTCAAAGATATGTTCAACGTGGGTGATATTTTAGACGCCACATGTACATCAGGACCTTCAAAGCCTGTTCCTGAAATTACATGGTTGGTCAACGGACGAAGGGTAATTTGTAACAAAATATTTATAGTAATTATTAGCAAACTAGTTAATTTTAGATAAATATCTGTACATTCCATAATTTGTTTATAAAACATGACAATTTATAAGCACTTTGTTCATGAATTACACTAATCATACTCTGTTTGATAATATTTCTTTGTACATTGATTACTAGATATGTAAATAAACAATAAGAATTATTATGCTTGAAAAGAAAAAAAATGTAGTTACACGGCATTCAATATAGGCAAATCTGATACATCAGTGTCATCGTGTCATACGAATACTTGATTATTATAATAAAATTATTTAAATTTTCAAACTTCTGAAAAAAAATAATAATGTATTATAATATTATGTGTAAATATTTTAAACTATTTGTTGGACGCGTGAAAAATAAGTTTATGATTAAAATTGCCTTAATAGATTATTAGTATACTGCGTCAATCAAGAAAAACACATTCCATACCACGTGCACATTATGTTTTATTTTTTATCTTTCATTCTCATATTGGATATATAATCTATATATCGTTTAGTGTTCTTGGTTTTATTCGGCAAGTTCAAAATCAATCAGTTGACACTTTATTTGTAGACTGTAAAACGACTAATAAATAGTCCTCGATTCGTAGAACGATTTAGTACTTGTGTATCAAACAACACTAGGCATCAGAACAACTTTTATTTGTCTAAATGAAAAATTGTGATTTAAGATTACAATGATTATCATTAGTACGCAATTAATTTTCGATTTAATTTCCACTATATATATATATATATATATATATATATCAGTTTCTAAGAAATTATTGTTATAAATAAAACTTAAAAACAGTTGGTTTTATTATTTAAAAAATAATAATAAAAAAATGTTTATTATTAATTTAATTGTATTAAAAAAATAAACACAAGTATGATATAATAATACAATTGTTAAGATTACCACAAAATGGGTTTTTAAAATATAATACTTGTGTTTGTTATACTAGTAAAATACTTTTAGTTCTAACTAATTACACTAGTATGCACAAATAGTATTTAATAGCTCACCGATATTTTAAAAATTATTCGAAGTGTATTATTTTTTTTTTTTCATTTTATATTCTGAGTGGACTGGTGAATATATTGATTTTACAGTGATAAGCGTTTTTTTTTTTTTTTTTGTGTGTAGTAAGTGCTGGTTAAAAATATATTAAAAAATAAAAATGCTAACAAATTTGATTCATGTTTTCTTATAAATGATTCATTTTTCAATTAAAAAATATCGAAAATTAGTAATTACAATATTTTTTATTATTATTTTAATTTAGAATTTTAAAAAAGTCTTATAAATTACAAATTATTTTATAATTTTATATTCATAAGAAATGTATTGTATATATTTCACATTTTAAAATTGAACATAAGGTTCTTTACATGTTTTGCAACCAATATTAAAAAAAATATATTTCTATTAGATAGTAAAACTAATTTTTTATAAGCGTTTAAGGTTTAAATTTTAATGACATTGGAAATTTGCCCGTATAATAACTATTTCTTTTCAATCAATTTTTGTTGTTGTGGTAATTTTAAAACAAATGAACTTCAATACTTTAAAATTTTGCTGAATTTTATATTATTACCTTCTATACATCGCATAATTTTAATAGTATTTTGACTTTTCTTAAGTTATTTTTAGGTATAAGAAATTTTTGATTTTTGATTTCTAATAAAAAATTTTTCATATAATTAAAAATGTAATACTACATATATCTCACATTCATTTTTTTTTTTACATAAATTTGCAATAAGTTATTAAAATAAAATGTATAAGTACAATATTTTTTTTTATGTATATAAGAAATTTAATGTTTTTTAAAATTTCTCAAAATTACGAAAATTACAAAAATAACTAAACAAATAAAAATATTCGGTGGAAACTTAAAACTATAATGTATCATTTTATTTTTATTTTTTGATCTTATTTAAGCCCGCAACTACGGCCATAAGCTGTGGATAGGAACAGTAAGGTTTTTTTTTAAGGTTTGTTTGAAAAGTTTGATTTGTACGGTTGGAACATATGTGTGTATGTGTGTGCGTTATGGATTTGTCACTAAGAACTCAGGTGGTCACTCATCTTATAGTTAGCGACGCCGGCCGATGTTTGACCTCAGAATACACTAACGACTGTGGCCAACCACCGCGCCACACCACGCCACTTTAACATATTATTATTATTAGTTTTAGTAAACGCGATAATATATTTTATTTATTTTAAAATATTATTCTCTATTTATACTATGATAAATCTATTTTTACTGTTTCAAGGTATTTACAGAAATATTTTAATAAATATTTAGTTACATAAGTTAATATAATATGGTACGAATAGATATTTTTATAATAACTAAATACTAATAATACAATTTAAAAAATGCAATATTTTTGCAAAAAATTGAATCAATCTATCGCAATATTAGAATTAAAATGAACTACTATAATAGCTATTTCAAAAATATATACCATGAAAATAAATTCTTAAACCTAATATTATAATAAGTTGTCAAACTGGTTCCACTCAGAATTGTTTTTGTACCTATACAATAATAGATATAATATCATTGAACTCCAATTTAATATGCCCATAACAGTGACCCACTCAAATTATAATAATAATTAACAGCAAAACAGTATCCAATCGTCTATTTTTTTTTTATTTGTAAATAATGATTTAAAATTGTTTTTAACTAAAAATTCAAGTTCTTATAATGTATTATAATGTATATTTGCGCACAAAAAATAAACATAAAGCTCATTTGACCTTTAAAAACAAATATTAGTTTTTACTTTTAAGAACATAGATTGTTAAAGGTCATTTAATCAATACAATAAAATACAAATAAAAAGTCAACTATTGGGGTTAGGAAACAAAAAAAAAAATCAGAAAACCATACATTATTATATTTATATTTATATCTCGAAAAGAACAATATATCACATTATTATTAATATATAAATTACATAATAAGTGTTTGAAATTCATAAAAATTTAAATAGAAATTTCTTTTTCTTTTAGACATTATTTTATGGAATAAGGAAAATGTTAATATAAATTTGAAATAAAGATGGCTTCAATAAAATGTTTATTCAAAAAATGACAATAGATACTCCAATAATTCCTAAAAGGGTATACGCATTTTAGCATTTAAGCTTTTAAAACGGGACACGGAAACGAAAAACTTTACTTTTAAAGATAAAAACATAATTGTACAATTCACAATTTTTATTGAAAATACTTGAATTACAATAAATAATAACTAGTTGTAATAGTTATATTAATGACTTAGTAAAATACTATTTTTTAAATTTTTTATTTAGTGAATAACAAGCTTATGGATATTTTTTTAGTGCCTTTAGAAGCACTAAAACACGTGAGATAGCAATAACGGTAAATTATGTAGCAAGTAAGCGTGCTCAGAGTTTGGCATGATTCATTGAAATGATACGTTTTCGTGGGCTTTTAGCTCCACATCTTCATATATTTAATGTCCGCAGGGTCACAAGACCATCAAAATAAACTACCTCAGGTACCCAGATTTTCCACAAATTCAGAATAAATAAGTTTTTATTCATAACCCAGCTGTAATTTTAACTCTAACATATTGGAATTTTATACTATGCATTTACTATACCAGTTAAATGCATAAATACTTGGAAAAATAATTTAAGTCGGATACCTAAATAAACAAATATATGAATACCATAAGCCGTTAAAAAAAAAGTAATATTATCTTTATAACATAATAAAAATAACACATAATATTATAATCTTTTCAATTTTTAATTTAAGTTTTTGTAGTATAACAATAAAATATGAACTAACAGTTTTAAATAAAACAGAAGTTTTTTTTTATGAAGAAAATACAAGAAATACCTAAAATAATAACGATTTTAACACATATATCAAGTGTGATGGGAAAAAAAACATATTATTTTTTTATTGTTTAAAAAACTGTATAGAGATTATAATAAACTAATAATATTAACAAAAAAAAAAATACTATTATTATTATTATTTTTTTTTTAGAACAATAATATAGTTTTTACAAGCTAAATGTTTTCTTACCATGATTTTATTTACTAATTTACTATGGTTTTGAGTAAATCAAATAATATAATATTAAACTGTAACAGCACTATTTAAAAACCACAGAATTCACTACTTTTGCAGAGAAACAATACATTATCATACACACAAATACACTCAGTACTCTCAAAAACTTAGACAATCCCACAAAAAACAATCAAATAAAACAAAAATAATGGTATAAGCTGATCAAAACTAAAATGGACATAGGATTTGTCTAGATAACTGGAAATTAATATTAGTGGTGATTTATTACCAAAAAACTTGCATTGCTATGGTACTATAATATATTACGTAATATTATATCCAGACATAAAATGCCTAATAAACCTAAACTTACTACAATTATACTAGAAAGAATAGGATCTACTTCATTACAACAAACTTAGAAAAATAAAACCAATCACCCTTCCTCGGGAACACAAAAAATCGTTCTTACGTAGATTGCAAATAACAATAAACAGATTTAGAATTGGGCACATGATAGCTGGACAAGATCAACCTCTCTTTGAGTTTTTACTTGTGCACTACACCAGATAAAATCAAGCATATTTTCACAGAATATATAGATAAGCTAATTTCTTATACGATTTTTATGAATTTCTTTGCACCTATTTTAGAAACCATTACTCTGTTCCATAAATTTTTTACATTTATCGTAGTTCTACTATTTATTTTAATTTAAACTATCATTACTTACTGAATCTATACCACTTGTTTTATATTTACACTTACATTAATCTATGAACTTAAATTATATTTAAGGTATTATATTTAGAAAAACCTAACTATTGATGCATATTTATAAAAAATAATTATAAAAAAAAATTAAGATGTAACAACAAAACTAGTTTGAATTTATTTTTAAATTATTACTCATAAATATGCATCAATATTTAAGTTATTCGTGAATAGTATTTCATGATTTATTTTCAATGCATTATGATAAACTCGAAAAATTCAATAAACTTGATAAATTGTGAATTACATATACATTTCTAAAAAACGGTTTAATAAAAAAAAAACTCATGTGGTAAGAAACTTTAAAAACTTAAAATCAGAACTAAAAAAAAATAGATGAGTGGATTATATCGTTGCAATGAGTGGGTTATATTCAATAAAATATCATTAAATACGTGAAACGATTCTGAGTAGAGAATATATAATATCTGTCAGCCTATATCATTAAGTATATTTTATTGTATTAATTTTTTTCGATTTTACTTTTAGGATCCCTCTAGAAGACTCAAAAATAATTGGTGTCGAGACCTTCTTAATGTTTAATTATTATAAAGAGAAATATAGATTAAAAAATAAAATAAATAAAAACGACCAGCAAAGGCCGTATTACCACTGAGTGATTTTAAAAATAATTTATCATTATATATTATTCTTATTGTTTCTAAAATAAGAGATTGTATATCATTGAATAAACAGTAATAAAAAAAAAAACTAAAAATTATGGTAGGTTGATTTAATTTTTTTCGAAAATATTTAATTTACGTATTATGTTATGAATATGAATGGATTTATAGTTTAAATAAATAATATACTAAAATTAATCTATTTATTTCGTACAGTAAAATTCATAATATGCATAAGTGTTTTAATGTGTGGTGCCTAAAAATTTATTAAATGTATAAAAGATACAGTAATAAAATGCTAATTTGTACATACTAAAAAATAAATATATCACTTATTGGCTTCAATTATATTCATAACAAGCGTCGTTTCTCACAGTAACTTAAAAATATGAACTCTAGTTAAAAAAATTGATTTATGTATACATTTTATAAATTTAAAAAATAAATTAATAGTTATAATATGTAAGCAATATATATCAAATTAAGCTTTTAGCTATCTTCTGATAACTTATTAGTGATTTTTGATTACAGGAATTTCTCACAAATATAATAATACATACATATATATTTAATAAATTATTTGTACACTTAAAAAACGAATTTCTGTATTTATTATACGGTAGAGCATTTTTTATTCTAATTTTTACATTCATAATAATTCAATAATTCAATGATTTTTCAGCCACCGGATACCTACATGAAACCAATAGTTAAGGCATTGTTGGACTCCGCCTCCGCTATGAGGCTCACATTTCCGGTGTCGGATAAACTTGGTGCCGAGGTTCAATTGACATGTCTATCCACCATACCCGGGTTCCTAAATCATAAAGCTGATTTCCATGATTACGCCGATTATAGGTCATCCTCGGTTATAGGTAATTAGAGCATGAAAATATAATATATTTTTGTTATTAATTACTATAAGTAAAAAGAAAAAGTGAAAAAAAAAACAAAAATAAACTAATTATGTCTGACTTATTGACTTCGATCGTATAGGTTTATATTATATATTATATAATATAGTGTTTATTATATTTTATATGTATTTAAATAATTGAATGTGAAACAGTGAAACTAAAACATGGAATCCGTGAAATTTCATAGACATATTTTACATAAACTTTATACCGCTTCTTGCGAAGTTAGACTTGATGATAGCGATCCATTCCATAAACCAGCAATAATTTTAGGGGGTGTAAGAAGATGCATGCTCCCCATAGAACCTGCTTGAGATTCAAACTGACCTTAACCCTACACATCTCAACCTCCATCACCCACTCGTATATACTCACAGATGATGACATTAAAATTTACACTAGCCTTGTTAAAGGTTTCGTAATAACTATAACAACCGGCTGATTATCATCATCATTGAACGTGATTAATTACGAACCGTAGTTCTCTAGTAATACCTTCGATATTTACGTTTCATTGCAACTGTTAAATATTAAACCTCTACTCAATTCTTCCCATGACACACCAACCGCAATTAGCCTATTTGTATGTATACTTAGTGATTTTTAATACATATGACATAATCGTTACTTGTCACAACTACAGTTATTAAAAATATTATTTCTGCATAAAATATTTAAATTTAATCACTTACGTAATTTGAATAAAATGTATTAAAAGATTCATCGAAGTTTCCAGTAAGTACTTATAAAATGGCATAAATTTCGATAGTTGCTTTGAAACAGAAAATAAAATCAACAGTTAGAGCAGTATAATATTATAATCACAATACATTAAAATCAGTAAAAAAAAAAAAAAAAAATCCATGTCAAATACAAAATATTTTATGAACTATTATAGTAAAGTACCATATGGCATAACGTAATACAATATTGTATGATATATGTATTATATTTATTAAGCGTATATTATAAAGTAAATAAAGAAGATTTATTTTCTTTCAACTTATTGAGAATTTTGACTGTCGAATTTCTAATGTATATATATTATATTCCAAAAATAATTTTCTTTGAAAAAATCCATTAACTGTATTAAATAAATATCGAAATAAATCATTGAATATTTCTCAAATACAATATTCCGTGTATTTTGTCTAAAAAGAAAGTTTTAACCATTCTTCCAGCTGTTGTTTTTTCGGAGTACTCAACCTAGTATATTAAAATTAACAATGTTTGAAAATTTTAAAAGAAGAAAAAAAATTCATAAAACTCATTTAACAATAAAAATTATGAATTCATAAAAAAAGATATTCATTAGTCAATAAACCAATTCTAGGAAAATATGATTTCAATGTTCAAAATTAAATTTTTTCTATAATCATTTTTTTAATGAAGAACCGACTAACTGATCATTTTTAAAGCCTTATTAGACATTGCCATATTTTATTTTAAAATAAAGTTCAAAATTAGAGAATATAGTTTTTAATTAATTTATTTTTAATTGCAATTTGTAATTTATTTCTATTTTCATATAATATTATAAATATGATTATAAATTTTAGCCGTTTTGATAATTCATTATTTTACGTTATACTTAATTTTTGCCAAGTGGTTTTGTTGAACATTATTTTAGTTAAGTTAGGTTTTTATTGAATTTCCAAATATTTTATAAAAATATAGAACTTAATTTCTCATGTTATTATATTATTTTTGTTGATTTATTTATTTATATTATATTGATTATAATGGTTCGCGGTGAATTGGTCGCGAACAATTGATCGCCGGTGAATTGATCGCGGGCGAATTGATCGCCGGTGAATTGATCGCGAATACAATTGGTCGCCAAGATAATTGATCGCCAAACGAACTTTTTTAGTTTTTTAAGTATTTTATTTTAAATTTTCATTATCGAGTTCGTATTATTATATTGTTATAAAGTATTTATTATTGATATTATATACCCACATGGGCATTATTAGTTTATTTCTGTCGTTTCTAATCACGGCGGCATAATCTCAAATTGTTCGTCAAAAGCCAACGTCTTCTCATTGTTAAATTATCAATACCGTGAAGTCACCTAATTTTATTATTATATAATTGTCAAATTAACTTGTATTAGTGTTAAGGTGATATCAACATGGCCGTGATTAAATTGTTATTATTATTATCCACTATATACATAATATATTTATTATTTTTTTTTAATTAAAATTAGCATTTAACTGTACGTTATTTAAAAATAAAATAATAAGAATACTTAAATATTCTAAAATAATAAACATAAAATTCGGTAATATACCTAGGATAATAAAATACTTAAAAAACTAAAAAAAGTTCGTTTGGCGATCAATTATCTTGGCGACCAATTGTATTCGCGATCAATTCGCCCGCGATTAATTCACCGGCGACCAATTCACCGGCGATCAATTGTTCGCGACCAATTCACTGGATACCGATTATAATATAATAAACATATATTCATGTATACGATTTATAAAAATTCTGCTATACGCCATAAATTATAATTTATATAAATAATTAATATACTTACGTTGTGTTAGAAATTAAAGTTAAATAATTTAAATTTAAAAATATTAATTAAGAACACATTATACCGTTTAACTTGCTATTAAGAATATATAAACCATATTTTTTGCTATTTAAAACAATTAACACAAGGATAAGAATAATAAAAATAACAATTATTATTATTATCATTATTATTATACATAGAAACACCACTGTTTTGACTCTTTTGTTATTTATATTAACTAGAATATTATCTTTGTCTCCTTCATTTTTTATTAAACACATTGTATAGATCCCGACCCTAACTTGTGGACTCGGGCTGTTATCATAAATAAATTATAATCAGAAAACCATGGTTAAATAAGAGGGGGAGAGGTTAGGTACTTCGGTATTGTTTTGATTTTGGGTCGTTTAGTTGCGCAAGTTCATGCTCAGGAGAATGAAATAAATCATTTATTAATGTACACAGCAGGTCATCAGAGTATAAGTGAAATACTGAATAACCCATATAAATACAAAAAACGTAATAGACTGCTAACGAAAATGAAATGTCAAAAAATATATTTTTGTCCTTTTATATATTATACTATAATACATTTTGAATTAAGGTAAACTTGATTTGTTCATTTTTATTATTTTCATTCTTTTCCTGTTTAATGAAGTACAAACATACTCGTTTTTTCAATATCAGTTAAAGATAATAAATGAGGTAGGTACCTAATTTTACCAAATAATTATCGTACATTATAATATCCGCTTAAATAGTATAAAACGTTTTCATACATAGTAATTTGGCTGGAAAATATAGTTAATTGGAAAAAATACACGGTCACATTGAATAACATAGAAATGTGGTAATAATTTAGAAAAAGTTTAGACCAACAATGTCTGGATTTCGAAAATTGTGGATGTACTAATAAAAAGCTAAAAATACAATTTTATTATTTAAAAAAGAAAATATTACTTGATGGTAGTAGTTTCATGACGAATATTGTTCTGCAGATTGTCCTTTGTATACAAAAACAAAATATATAGTTGTGTTTTGTATATATAAAAAATGGATAGATGTAGTGAACCATATATGCGGATGATAAATGCTATAGATAACGGATAAAAGGAGTGCACTTATCATAATAGTTAATAATTCAATATTTACTTAGGTAGTATTTTATGTACTTTATTTACTAAGTATATATTTTAAATGAGTATATACAGATTATTTAATAGAACTGCTCAACTCAATTATTTTCTTTAAATCGTTATTAGAATTTCGATTTTTGAAATTTATAAGCTTACTTATGAACCAAATTTTCACTTATTTTTTTTTTTTTATACCATTTAAAAAATGTTTCATAGTGGTGTAAACTTAATTTTAAAATGAGATATGAGAAACAAATATTTTGCTATAAATTTATCAAATAAAGAATTTCTTTAAAATATTGTTTGTATATAAATCAAAATTCATTCAAGTAGTTTCTAAATTATAACTTCATACATACTAAGAAACTATAAAAGCCATTAAAAATGATTTCATAAAAATATAAATTAGATGAGATATTTCATCTATTTCGGATAATTCTTTACTAACTCTAAAAATATGTTAATAAATTAATATTGATAACCATAATTTTTAAATAATCATATTCCCCATATTTCTCAAGACTATTATCATTATTATATATATATATTAACTCTTAGTACTTTAAGTTACCTTAAAAACTACTCTTTCTAATTACGATCTACATACATATAATTTTTAAAAAACCATTTAACAACTGTCTACAATATATATGGTGATTATTTTTTGAAATAAATAAGTTACTATCACTTTTTTGATATATCTATATAATATCTAAGTATTTTAAAATATGATCTTCAAGTATATTTAAAAGTTTTAAAAATCAAAATTTAAATAAACCCATTAAAGAAAAATATAGGTTAACGCTCAGTGAATCACGAACTACATATTTAAATTATCGTGTAATATTAACAGTGTTCACGGTTAACGTATACGAGTATTATCAAGTTTTCCTATACACTACACTGTGATATTTATAAAACAATTATTTTTAAGTTCGACAAAATATAATGGAAATAAAGAAATTATGTTTTATACATTAAGACAATATTTATAATTTATACAATAAATAACTGACAGAAAAAGAAGAGTTTTTAAAAAATTTGTTATAAATTTATAGAAAAGAAATAAGACATAAAATTATTTTCAAATCATAATAATATATAACACAAATGAACAAAACTTTATTAGTTAATATTTTTCATCGAAAACATTTTGTGTCAAATATTTCACAATTTTTACGAAATTATGTGGAAAAATAAAGAATAATACATCAAATAACAACATATTTAAATATAATATAAAATCATCCAATTATACGTGTCGATCGAACAATGGATATATTTTTATGTCATTTACAAAAAATGTTTACCTACCATTACTGAATAAAAAAGTACTGAATACTGATGGTAATAAATTTGGATGGGCCATAATAGCGATAGCGAGTGTCTTTATATTTAAAAGCAATGATAAATCATTGCATCCGAGAAGCGATTTTGAGTAAAGCTTGGTATAACTAAAAATGGCAAACATTTGTTAAAACAGGTGCTTGCTTATATTTCATCAATGTTTTTTTTTTTTTTTTTACGAAAACTACTCGAAAAATCGAAAAATTACCTTTTAAAGTACCATCTGTGTTCAATATTCAATCTCGATAGAAACTGTATGAAACTTTTTGAGCTTATTTTACTGTTCCAAAAATAAATAAACATTTTCTAAAACACTTTATTGAAAAACCAATACGTTTTACATTCCTCTTAGACAGTAATAAATAAACATCGATTGGTCTAACAAGGTTTATTTAAAACATGATATCAGATATAACACAATATAGTTATAACGATGAAATAGCAAGCAATTGAAAATATAATTGGATTTATTTTAAAAGCATACAATGCAAAGTTTTAAAACTGTTTTTTTTTCTTTTAGTATTATCAAAACTTGACAAGAAAAAACTAATTTTTGATAATTAATTTAATTTATAAAGGGTCTTTATTTCTGCTAATTAATATTTTTAATTTAATTTAAATTATTTAACTATAATTCTTTATTTTTGAATTGTCATTAAAAATATACCTTTATATTATATAATATGTTCAACTTTAAATTTTATAAAATAATCAAATCCTGTAATCCTAATAAAGGATAAAATATCATTGATTAATCTTGTATCAAACTTAATTATTTTAAATTAATTAGTTTCTATTTTTCATTAAATAAAAATATTTTTTTGTTCATTTGCTTGATTTACTTTTAAGTTCTTAATCCAATACTATAAAATAAACAATGATAATTTCTGGATCTGTTTAATCTTTTATATTTATGCTGATTTTACTTGGATATTTCTGTTTTATTATTTTTAAAAAGTTACATTACTATTTTTTGATAAACTGTGAAGTTAAGTTTTTTTTTTTTTTTTTTTTATTGAACTTAAACTTTGGCGACTAGGACCATTAGCTGTTGTAGGAGTAATGAACTGTGGTAGAGGTAAAGTTGGTACAGTAGGTTGTTTTTTTTTTTTTTTTATTGTTACGGTTAATAGAAAACACGTGTATATGTGGCAAGGTTTTTAACCACTATAATCCCAGTTGGTCACCCATCCGGGAGCTAGTAGCCGTGGCCGTTACTTACTCTCAGTCACATTCCGCGAATGGTAGCAGCCAACGTGCCACACCAAGCCACAAGTTTAGTTTGTAATTATTTATAATGAAACAAATTAAAATCAATATAATATGTAATTCTTTATAACAATATCTAATAAGATGTTTGGTTATAATTTTTATTTAAATATTGATTTTTTATAGCATTAATATTTAATAAGAATTATATATGTGTCTTTAACCTTTTAAACCAATGTGACTAAATAAGACTAAACAACATAAATAAAAACCTTAGAGTACCATAATTCCCTGTCTTATTAGATATAAAATTAAGTAATTGACTATTATTTCATAAAATAATAATTATTTGACTAAAGCTGAAGAATTTAAATTAATTATGGAAACATGAAATTTTAACTAAATTTTAAATACTTGTTACCTACTAAACATACGTATAAATAATGTTATATTTATATTTTTATTCTTAGTGCAAAACTACTTTATCATTATGTAATGTTAACAAAAATTAAAAATTATTTAAATTAAAAAAAAAAAAATAGATACTATAATGTTAATGACAAAATGAATTGTTCAACCATAGAACTCCGAATTTGTGAGTTCGTTATCTTTAAAAAAATATATACATAAATATTTAAAAAAAAATTTCATACATGACTTGAAATTATATTGGAAATTTAAAATATTATTAAATTATATTTCTTAGATATAAATCATATCAAACTTATATTATTTAATTTCAACAATAAAGTTGAATAATGTATGAAAAATTTCACGTTTGCAACATTAAAAAAACGCTTAAACAAATTACACGTATAGAAAGAATAATAATATGAAGTGATAAAATAAGACTCAGATGAATGAAATATAAAATTCCAGTAAAATGATTCACATAATAATTTTAAAACACCTACGCATAATATCAATACCGATACCTATAATGCAAATAAGCATTGACGAACGTAATAACGTATTTGCGTGATGTATGATTGACATATTATATATTATAATAAACGTATAATTTGAACATAGCAAACGTAGTGTGTGGTGTGTGTAATCGAAAATTATACGTTTATAGTAAATATCACTATTTATATTATAAATATGTATTTTTATTATTTGACCGGGAAATCTATAGCCTTTTACATTGAAAATCCATTAATTAATTTTTCCACAGTCCGTAAATACAGACATTAAGTCGTTTTAGTTGTACCTGACAAAACGAGAACATGAATATAGTATTGTAAATACTTTAATGACATTGACTGTTTTCCCACGCCGTATACAATATCGCTTTTTATCTATCACAGTATTAATAATATAGCCAAATAGTATAAGACGTACATACATAGTACGATGTAACAATAACAGACGGGTTTATTTTGACGTATCTATAATGTATTCTAAAATAATTTAAATAATATTAAATATGACTAACAAGTGTAAAATTTAAAATTATACTTAAAATAACAGAGAATAACGCGTGGACAAAATCATTCTAGAACACGTAACCAAAATTAAATATATTTTAAGTGAATTTAACTATCAGTATATTTAACAGTGGCGGCTCATCAAGGGAGACAAATGAAACTCAGCCTCATCTAATATTAAATAGAAAATATAGTATATACTATAATTATAGTTAACTTTGAGAATATTATATTCAATAATATAATAAACATTTTAAAATACTAAAGTTTTTTGTTATTTTATATTATTTTAATGACAAAACAAATTTATTTTTTCGTGTATAATATTAATTATCATACTACTATGGTAGATAATAATAATACCTACTTCATAACTATTATCAAAAATCATATTTTCGTGAAACAATAAAAAAATCTAGATGAAAGCCGAAGAGTGCCAAGAGGCTAGTAATATTTAGCCTCAGACGAGCTGGACGACCATATATATGATAAAACATATCATGGTAGAGAGGGAATTCGGAATTTCATTATGAAATGAGGCTGAACAATATGGGCCTCTGAGTATGTTAACATTCTCCATTAGTCATTTGTCGAAGCGACATAACTTCCACTAATAGAAATAGGAAAAGAAAGGTTGTCATAACGTCGTGTAGTTTGCATTACTCAAAGACAATAGGGTAGATCTAATTTATAAAACATAATATAAAAAATGATATTTATTTTAATTTAATATAGTAAATGAGATTTATTTAATAAGTATTCATTTTATTTTTTATAGTTGACTTTATTTTAACATTTAATATAAATAATACATGTTTTATTCATGGTTAATTATTTATACGTTGTTAAAGATTAGAATTAAATATTAATTTAATTATTTTGAAAGTTAACTCGAAACTCATTTTTATATTTTAACAGCATTTTTTTCCATACATTTTGAAAATATCTGCCTCACCCCTCAAACGGTTGACGAGCACTGGTATATTAAGCAAAACATTACGAATTTACGAATCGTAATCCCGTACGAGATATTGTTATTATATTCATGATATTCGCGTACCGTGCATGTTACGACCATAGATCGTTATACCAAATACGGACGAAAAAATCGTGAGGGAATGTTACACAATAGGATAAAATATTATCCATCGGTACGAATTTCAAGTTACAATACTCAATGAGTTTTTAGTCGATTGGTTTTTGCCGTTCGTCACCATTTTGTCTGTTTCTATTTATTTTTTATCTTTTTAACTGACGTCCGCAGTAGGGAATAACGTTTAAAATATATGTATGGCGCGGAATCTTATATTTACGCGTACTCGTAGTTCACTATGGCTATAGTAGCACATTATAATATCGCTCCAGAAAAAAACACTGAACAAGAGGTGACAAAAAACATACATCCCGTATAATACAACAACTTTACTACACGGGAAATATAATAACAGCTTATCCCGTCGTCGTCTTCGATTGCGAATAGTGCTCGTGTTCGTCGTGTGTGCATTATAGGATACGATTTGTCGTCATAGTAACCACAATACTGCCACATATAAATCTATATATAAATCTATACCGAGGTGAACATATATAATAATATATACCTGTGTGTTTTGTGTATGTGTGTGTGTATGATGTACTTGCGCTTTTGGAACGACACGTTACATTAATTGTTTTGTTTTCAGTGAGCGTGGCAGCCAAATCTGAGCCCGTGACTGCGGGATGCGGAAAAGAATTTATTAGCATCGTCGTCGTTGCAGCAACTACCGCTGCCGTTGCCATCGCCGTCGCCGCTACGTTCCAAGCGTAATTTACGAGACAGGTCTGTACATTTCTACTACTCAGCCACAATGTTAGTTGTCGTTTTGTGTGTATATACTTTTTTTCTCTTCTCGTCGAGCTTGTCCGGCATTTCACAAACAGCACACGGGATAAACGCCGACGGGAAGAAGAAAAATAAAATAACCATAACTTCTGACTTGAAATTAAGGCAGCCTCTATCTCGTTCGGTTCTATAGCCCTACATATACATTATAAAGATCGCAACCGACGCTGAAATCATACAATTAAACTGCCAACCCATATACATACTCTGAGCTCTGAACTGTCATCGCTTCCACAATTCTCCATCGTCTTCCGTGAACTTTTTTTTTTTTAATATTATTATTACAAGCTTCCTTATACATCTAGCCCGAAAAAGTCCGTATGTTCACTTAAAGTACCATAAAATAATAATTTAAGGTCTTATATATTTTTTACCGTAACTATGGCAAAAAAATAACGTAGTGTCTCGTCAAACTTTTATCATAATACTACAAAAGTATTAACATACAAATTTATTTCATGAATTCATTAGCACTCGAATGATTTATTCAATGAATTTTTTTTAACAATAATATATTTTTTAAACAGAAATCGGTAAAATAATCATTAAAACGGTAATTAATTCAAAACTTGTGATTTGTAATTCAGATGAATTTCAACAGCCTAAACCACGATAAATTATCTGCAGGAATATTGTAAACTAGTGTTGTAAGTTGGTGAAACTATATTTTTCATGTTATATAAAAAAAAAACAACGTATTATTAAAGGTCGGAAACCATGACAATGACGGCTGTAGTAGCCAGTCGTACAAATGTTATTTACGCTACAGCTTCCGTCGGACTACACTGATATGATATACGTACTTTTGTTTACTAAATAACACGTGAACTCAGACGTGCGTAAAACTACCGAATCTATATTATATATTATAGCCACCTACATGTCGCGATCCAATATGTTAATAAGTATATTCGTTGATGTATCGATAGGGAAAAAGAATAAATGGCCGTGCCCTTCCACTGTCTATATTGTATAATCAAATTTAAAAATGCATACAAAGCTTTTAAATTCTTAATTCTTTTTTTATATTTATATCACAATATTTGGTGACTGATGATAATTAATCTATAACTATAATGCAGTAAGTAAAATAAAAAGATGAATAGTAATTTTTATAGTTTATTATTTTTAAGCTGTGCTTCCCTCTTCTCTCTACTTCACCAATCCATAATCCTGGATACGTCGTTGTGTATATTATTCCATGTGCAATCGAACCTATTGACGATCAAATTTAAAAATACGTGCGGAATATTCGACTTTGTAGCATCCGTGAGACGTTTTACCATTAATATACATATTTTTCTAACATGAGCATATAGATTTTCCCAAAAAAGCCTCGAACCTATGATTGAATCTAAAGACGACACAGTACACTTGAGCGCAAAGGTAATGTATACTTAATAAATGAAACACATACAGCCGCATTCCACTCTGACCTCGCTTTTTTCGAGGGAGTACGTTAAGGGAGGGAAGTAATTTGATTTATAATTAAGTACAAACATTTTTGAGTACGACGACTCGTGATGTATTATTGATACTTGGCAACAGCCGAGGCGGTGCGGTATGCATACGTTCAAAAAGGGTTCATTTTTGTTTACCTGTAAAATAAACCGATGACGATAACTTTATAGATACACGAGCTTATTATTATTATTATTATTATTATATTATTATTGTTGTTTTCATTAAGAGAGGTTAACTGCCTTAACTTAAAACACTAAAAAAAAATTAAAGGAAATTAGGTACTTACTAAAATGCAGCTATTGCTCTTTTAATTACTATGTTTGCGAATTGGAATTTAGAAACAATTTAAAACTACCAGCGAATAATATTTACTATGGCATTTATTAAAATACACTTTCTTAAAATGCTAGCTTTAATAATAATTATATATGTTTCAGGTCCTCAAACAACATTTCGACGGCATGTGTATGCGTGCAATTGTGTATAATATATACAATTCAATGTATAAATAGTTAGTACCTAGTATACATTATTAGTCATATATTTTACGAATATATAAATATTAAATTGTTTAAAATTATTCATGCAAATGGGCACGCGGTTACCTTTGGAATCGTTCTTTTGAAGATTATTTAACTGTTATAATGCGTTGTGGTGACCCGCTATGGACGTGAACAGTGTACTGTTCTAACATTGTGTATGGAATCACATAATTTGGTTGTTTGTGTGTATAGTTTATACGGATAATTTTGGATCAGCTGAATCGATTTCCTGATTGGTATTACGTAAAGTTTGAATTACAGCAGATTATTTTTTTAATTAATTTTAAATACCAATATTCAAATGATAATATTATTTATCGTTAAAGCGTTTTCAAACCGATCGTCCATACGTGTGTCACCATCACGTAAATGGATAATAGTTATTATGTTGACGGGTGCGGTCTTTTTGTTTATTTATTTATTTGTTTTTTTGTTATTAATAATATTTTGTAAATAATATTCTTAAACTAACTAGGCAAAGTTTTCAATTCCTAATGAATGAGATTATAAACTTAATGAGATCAGCGCTTCTAAAATTGTCTCCGTGTCAATTAAAAACATATTTCATTTTTCAACGTCAAGTCAAGTGAAATAACGTTGTAAACAACACACACGACTATATGAGTATATTATAAAGAAAATGTTCTTTGTATTTAAGAACGATGTAACCGTTAAATTACAGTTTAAATATATCATATAAATTGGTCAGACGTTGTTCTTGCTACTTACTACATCGTTCCAAAACAAAAATGCATTTATTTCGTGTTAAATAATATTTTATCAGATAAATCATCCTAAATGACAAATAATAATTTATGAAGAATTATTTTTGAAAATCACAATTGAATATTTCAATATTCAATAATTTCAGTTATTTATTACTATTTGATACACGGTCACAATCAAAATGACAATATTGTAATTGAATTGAAACTTATTGAGTAATTAGAAAATTTTTTTTTAAATCAACTGATATTTCAAATTACTTGTATTACATTAAATAATACGATTGTTTTAATCTCTTAAATTTGCTAGGTAATTGTTTGTTATTAAAATAAGATAATGCTGTCAATTATATACACAAAAAAATCGCCTTTTTGAATGGTTATTACGAAATTTACCCTTTTTATGTTATACCTTAATCTATCATAGTATATGTAAAAATATATAAACGCTATATATCATTGAGCTATGTATTTAGATAATTATTATTTTTTTTCTACATTTATTGTAAAAAGTTTAATTATTACTTACTGTCTCTAAAATGTACATTGTTACATTAGATTTAATGTCATTATTTAAAATAAAAAAAATAAAATATATTTAAAAAATGTTTAAAATATTGTTACTCCAAATGATACTATTTTATTTCCATAAATTGTAGTGTTAATTTTAATCAAAGAAATCACGCTAAGGTTTTGCCAAATCATATTAAATATAAAACGATATACGATGTACCTACCTATTAACCATTAATTATTAATTTTTTCAATTATATTATTTCAAACGATAGATAATAAATCGAAATCGTTTTCACATTTATTATTATTTTAAACATCCAAGATTGAATTTGTTTTGTTTTTTTATAAATTTGAAAAAACATTCGTAAAAATTTGATTGTTTTCATTTAATTTAGACATTATATCATTACACTTGTATTAAATAATGATAAAATAAGTTGCATTTTCTCATATAAAAATGTTTTTAATTATTATATAATATTTTAATTTGAATTTATCGCTTGGAAATAATAACAATGACTGTAGTTTGTAAGAATAATCTTATCAAATAATATTAAGTTATATATTAATATAAAAATTATGATCGTATTGACGGTAAAATGTATTTAAAAAATAATAAATTATTATATTTATAATCAATATTCAAAATTCAATCGTCACGCAATATTAGTTGAAGAATAATGAACATGAGCATAACACAAGCGGCAAGCACTAAAATATCGTTTTCTGCGTATCGTAATATCATTATACCTATTGGTGCATTATACTAAAATATTATGTTACCTACATATATTGTGTACACATCAGTTTTATTAACGTATTGTATATTTATTAAAAATACATTTTAAGCAAAATTATTTAATTTTTTTTTTTTACCTAACCTACCTCAATCTAACTCACAACAATTAACTGAAATGTTAATGTCTTGAATACTATCGTTTTAAACATTAATTCCATATTCTTTGGTAACATTATTTGAAAATTTAGATTTCTAATGATAATCATGATTTTATTATACCATTTTCTTTGTGTATTATACAACATTTGTTCATAATTTGGTAATTATACGATTTATTTATTTTATAATGATTAGTGATTATCACATGATTAAAAAGTATAAGTTTTGAAATGTTACTTTAATTTTTTTTTTTTTGGCTAAAAAATTTAAAATTTAATATTTTTGAATTTGTATACTAGTATTATGACAAATGTATGGCTCGTAATAAAATAAATAACATGACTTAAAGATATGAAAATATAAAGCATAATATAATTTTATTTATTTCACAAAATAATCTACATTTGTAATAAATATTATTTTTAGATTCTTCTTTATATCATTAATATATATAATATTATGAATAGGGTTTCTTAATAATTATGTACTGTTTGATGATTATATAATTATTACGATTTATTTTGAGCTTCATTGTTAATAAAAAAGTGGATAATTTCTTTTATACGATTGACGATTGTTTGTTATCATTATTTTTAATATAAATACGAAAATAATTCTCAACAAACCGCATTAATGCCGTGATACTTTATTCGTACTTTAGAACAATGAGAGGAGTCAATCAATTTTACACTGATTTGATTTTTTAACGTAATTCTATTGTTTGTACCCTTGAAATTGTCTATAATATTATGATAGTTATGGTTAAAATATCCAGTCTTTGGTGATCGATCACAGAAATGGTCTAATACTAGATGTTAGTTTCAACCGTTCTATCATCAACTATGATGATTTATGAGGTATAAATGGTGACATTATCATAAATATAAAAAGTAAATGTATAAGGCAAATACACCAAAGGAACTGCGATCATGGTTAGTGTTTAATACCATATTAATACTACTAAATCTTAGATCATCGGTTAAGTGTAGCTGTTGTCCGGGAAAACTGTTGACGATTATAAGTCAATTAGCATCTGACTCGAGTGTTTTTTATATTGATATCGTATTAGGAGTTAGAAAAAAGTTAAGTAAAAATCATTTAGGATATTATAATTCTGTATGACTGTGAATATGCAAGAATTCATCTCATCATTGGAATTATATGAACAAATACCGTTTAATTTGATCTTTGAATATTTTAAAACGATACCACTGCTCTTAATGTTGTATCTTTATTATGATTAACAAACCACGTGGATTACCATCATAATATGCTAGCCTAATGATTTTATTTTATTCGAATAGAATAAAAACTACAAATTATTAGGTACCAAACAATCCACAAGAGAGAACCAAGTCGTATAAATAATATTACATTAAGTTCGTAACTTAATTATAGTTATGAAATATTTTTATACACTTGAGTACTTAATAAAATTATTTTTGATCAAGAGAACAATTTTTAGTACCTACAAATGTTTCTATGAAAAACTCTAATTCATATAATATAGAATTTATTTGCGAAAAATGCTTTTAAAATAATACTTTTATAGCTCTTCGTGTTAATCCGTTAAGTAATAGTTGATAAATTACTAAGTACTTGGATGAATAAGCTACACTTTGATAAACTTCTGATTGAGACAGCGAATACATACCAAATTAAATTTTTAATTGTTTTATAAGCTGTGAAAACTTAAAACATAAAAATACTTTTAGGTGTTTCATATTTTTACATTTAAATTGTTATCTAAAACTTTATTTCGATAAACAAGTAGCAGTTAACGCTTTATGCTTACTGCAATATACTATTTGATGTTCTTTATATTAGTATGACTAAATTAGTCACTTTAAAATTGTGATGAAAGTTTGAAAAACTGAAAGTTTAAAAGTTTCCTAACATTCTGATTGGAATTGAATTCATTCATATTTATAATGCTATTTAAATCATTTTAGTATAAATAGTAATACTAAAATTTAAATTTTAAATTACAAAACTTGACAAATTTTTTTATGAAAGTATATTAAAAGTTTGTTACATATACATTATAATTAATAATGATAACTAATCTTTAAATTATTTTTTATATATATATATAAGTTAAATAGCGATAGTCTCTAAAAATATTATCATTAAATTTACCTATAATCTAAAGGTATTTATCAAAAATGAACTTTATTTATATGATTTTAGATAATAATATTATAATACTAATTTTATACATAGCTAAAAAAGTAAAAATTTTAATTATTTAATTAATAGTTCTTAACAAATAACTATATTAATTCAAAAGTATAAACTTGAAATGATTACACAATAATTTTTCATATTATAAATAATTAACATTTTATAAAAACCCTTATTATAGATACAATAAAAAATTTTGTATTATATTTTTATTATATTTTGTATATAATATATAAAATATACAAATTATTAAATATAAAACATTATATTATTATAATAACTTAATCAAAAGAATATAAAATAATTAATTAATAAATTCCTAATGTTTACAGTTAATGTTCAATTGAATAGTTTAATAAATACAGTAAAGTATCGATAGTCCGGACGAATTCAAAACGTGCATCTTCCAGATTATGTCGATTCGTCCGGACTACCGAAGAGTTTTTAAGATTACTTATACTCAAATGACTAAGATTTTTAATTTTTATTTCGTTACCTTTATGTTTATTACACTTTAAAATACGAAACTAATAAACAACTTGATATAATGAATAATAAAAAAAAAAAAATGTTTATAGTCATAGAACTTGAGTATTATAGTAATCAGTTATTTTTTTCTGAAAAATTTCGAATAAACTACTAATGTATTTATGAATATATGAACTTATGCCATCTAGATTACTTCATTCACCGAATTATCGGGGGTCCGGAATATCAAGGCTCTACTCTATATTTATCTTTAATAATAAACATAAATGTTATTTTAAAAAACTATTCTGTTACATAGAATTGTCCTACGTACAACGTTCATTTTTAGACTTTATTAAATTCTAATGTAATATCTACATTCTACATACTTAGTGTACATTTAAGTTGAATTTGAACAAAACATTTGTGTTAATAAGCTATATAAATAAAATCATGAGCCTATAATATTATTAAAATCTGCAGATTATTGAATTTAAAAATAGTTGGTTCTCTACATAAAAATGTCAATAGTCTGTGATAAAAAAAAAATAAAAAAATATTAGCATTATGATTAAAAATACAAAATATATAAAAAATAAATTTTATATGTAAGTTTGTGCTATAATAATTACAAATTATCAATATTTTAATTTATCATGCTTTAAACTAAGCTAAACAAATTTCATTTTAATGAAATAATAAGATTTTTGTAAATATATTTTAAAAACTTCATGTGCGTCTTACAAAGTTGTCTCCTTATTCTATAACTAACAAAGTATCTATATTATTTATTTTTTTTTAATTTTAGTTATTTTCAAAAAATTAAGAGCCCAATATTTTTGATTGAACATTAATTTTTGTTAAAAACTTTAAACCTATAATAATTCAAAAAATGTGTAATTTCTCATGCCTTTGATGATATTTAGCAGAAAAAATACATTTTATAGAATAATTATTACAGTATTATGTTATATGTTAAAATATTATGAAGTATGTATATTTACACATGATAATACTTTG